TTAGAACTTCCAGGAAGCCATCTTGTCAGAAATCCCTGAAGAGGTCAGGATTGTACGTTTTATTTCTTTAGGCAGGGTCTCCCGTATCCCAAGCTAGCCTCAGACTCCCAGTGTGGCTGATGATAATCTTGAGAGGAGTATGCCTCTCCTCCTGAGTGCCAGGATTACATTTGCATACCCCCACTCCCTGTTTGTGGAGTGCTGGGGATTGAACCCAAGGCTTCACAAATGCCAGGCAAGCACTGTACAACTGAGCTATCTCTCTAGCTGCCAGCAAAACATATTTTTCAGTGGGTTAATTTCATGTGAATTATATCTCACAAAGCTGTTAAAAGTCTGTGAATTTAGGTTAAGCAGAGGTTTCTTGGATATAACAAAAATTAGAGCCATTACAATTATATATGTAGGATTGGACCCAAGAGAAACCAACACAAGCCGGGTGCGGTGGCCCACACCTGTAATCCCCGCAGAGGCAGAGGCAGGCGGATAGCTGTGAGTTCAAGGCCAGCCTGGTCTACAAAGTGAGTCCAGGACAACCACGGCTACACAGAGAACATTGTGTTGAAAAACAAATAAACTGGGTTGGAGAGATGGCTCAGAGGTTGAGAACACTGGCTGTTCTTCCTGAAGGTTCTGAGTTCAAGTCCCAGCAACGTGGTGGCTCACAACCATCTGTAGTGAGATCTGGTGCCCTCTTCTGGCATGCAGGTTCACGTGCAGGCCGAACATTGTATAAATAATAAATAAATTCTTAAAAAAAAAAAAAAAAGAAAAAGAAAAACAAATAAACAAAAAAGAAACCAACACAAAATGGTCCATCCTATATCATTTTCACTTCCTAAAGGGAACACTATAAAAAAGATCTCACCACATCAGGATTAGCCAGGGGCTGAGGGGCTAGCAAGGGCTATGGTGAAGTTTGGGGGAGTGGTAGAATTCAATTCCCATAGTAGATGCAAAGCTCTCTGGATTGTGCATTGAAGAGGGTGAAGTTCACTTAATTTTTAAGTGGGGAAAAATAAGCATAGAGAAAAAAATGGGAGCTTGAGGAATAGCTCAGCAGTTAAGGACAAGTACTGCCCTTGCAGAGGACCAGAGTTCGGTTCCCAGTGCCCAAGATGGATGGCTCCTAACACCAGGATCTCCATCGCCATGACCTCACTTGTCATCCTGTCTCGTTCTGTGCTGGACTCACTAGGGAGCTTGGTAGATGGCATGACTCTAGCTCACTGCGTCCTCACAGGGGTGAGTGTGAAGCCCCCCCCCCCAGCCTCTGCTTTAGCGGGGGAGGGGGACGAAGATGCTGGTGTGTTAGGGAGGAGGGAGGCCCTGAACTCAGGGGTGTGAGCACGGGAAAAGAGTGTTGGAAAAGAGCGAGTGAGCAAGACAACACATCTTCAGTGAGCGGAAAGACTTGAAGAGACTGTTAGCCAGCGCCACACCGGTTTCTGAAGCTCCTCCATTTTGGTTGAACTGTGGCTTGCTTTGTCGATTTGTGCCCTCCCACACTTGGAGCTGGCTCAGACATAGCAGGTAGCCAGCAGGTACTGCGGGCACTCAGCCACCATGCGTGTGGCTTGGAACTTCCCACTTCCTCTGAGCTTTCCCGTCTCTGGCCATGCTGCTGTCTGCCTGTATGTCAAGGACATATGGTGTGCAAAAACACAACTTTCACCTCAGTGGGTACAAAACTGAATTTACTTGGGAGCCAAGAGTGGCCACCATCTCAGAGCCCATACTAGCTTACCCCAAATTTCAAATTTTCAAGTGTCAGTGTTTCCATTGCAGTTTTGAAAAAAAGATTTATTTATTTTTACTTGCATTGGTGTTCTGCCGGCATGTCTGTGTGAGGGTGCCAGATCCTCTGAAACTGGAGTTACAGACAGTTGTGAGCTGCCATGTGGGTGCTGGGAATTGAACTCGGGTCCTCTGGAAGAGCAGCCAGTGCTCTTAACTGCTGAGCCATCCCTCCAGCCCCTCCATACAGTTTTGAAAGAGATTGATTGATTGATTGATTGATTGATTGATTGATTGATTGGTTGGTTGATTGGTTGGTTGGTTCTGTGTACGGATGTTTTGCCTTCATGCATGTATGTGCACCGTATGCGTACCTACTGCCTTCAGAAGCCAGAAAGAGGGAACCAGATTTCCTGGAACCGGAGTTCAGGAGGGTTGTAGGTTGTCCCATGGGTGCTGGGAACCAAATCCAGGTCCTCTGCAAGAACGGAGAGTGCTCTTGACCGCTGAGCCACCCGGCTGGCGCCTCCGTGCAGTTCTACAGTAATGTAACAAGCAGAGCTGTTTGTCAAGATGCTTCAGGTAGGTGGGTCACCGCCACGTGTGGAAATCTCAGCTCCAGGCCCCAGATGCTATCTGATGGGATTCCCAGCCTTTTCAATGGTGGGGAGCAGGATCTGTTCAAGCACTGGTCACAGAGATATTAGGTCACATACCGAGGAGAGCAGGAGGCGGCTATCAGGAAGAGCTAAAGGGAGCCCAAGATAACTTGGCTGCGTACTGTCTTCATTAAACTCTCCACAGCCATTAAAGCAGTTTTCTTCTTTTAAAAATTGAAGTTAGGGGCTTAGAGACAGGGCTCAGTAAAGGACCTGGGTTTGATTCCCAGCACCCACAGGACAGCTCACAGCCATCTGTAACTCCACTTCCAGGGGATCTAAAGCTCTCTTTTGACCTCCACAAGCACACATGTAGTATGCATACATACATCCTGGCAAAAAATCATACACATCAAACAAAAATATTTTAAAAAATTAAAAAAAAAATACAACAGAACCCAGAGCAAATACTTACTTATTTTTTTAGGCAGGGTCTCACTATGTAAGCCTGGCTGGCACTTGGGTCTCACTGTGTAAACCAGGCTGACCTCGAACTCATAGAGATCTGCTTGCCTCTGCTGATTAAATGTGTACGCCGTCACAGCCGGCAAAAACCTTTGTTGCTTATAGCATAAGATCATCCATGTCAACATAAAGAGTACAAGCCTGGGTTAAAGGAAATCCTGTCTCAAAACAATGAGAATAAAAAATAACGACATCATCATCATAAAATATGATTTATTTAACCTTATAATTGTACCGACATTATCTTAATAAGAAGTAATTCTTTCTCTTTGTTCATTGAATTGAATTTTGCAAAGCTAGCCTTCCCTCAGGATATTGACCTTATCAACATGTGTGCGTGTGTGTGTGTGTGTGTGTGTGTGTGTGTGTGTGTGTGTGTGGACATTTAGTGATTTTTGTGAGGATACTTCTCTGGACTCAGTTCTTCCTTCCACCATGTGGCTCCGAGGATGGAACTCAGGTCCTCAGGCTCATCAGCAAGCTCCTCTACCTGCAGAGCCATCTTGCCATCACCGGTTTGGGAGTGTGGTTTAAGGAGATGGTCCATCTTGGTGAGGAAGTGATGGTGGTAGGAGCTTGAAGCATCATCGGATCAACAGTCAGAATGCAGAAAGTCCCTAGTGTGTCAGTTGATACTCTAGTCAGTCAGTCAGCTTTGTAGAAGGCTCAGGAGCAAGTGCAGATCTTTCCAGGAACGTCTGCTCACAGCATTAAATAAACTTCTCACCCCAAAAGATAACGTGTCACAGTGTCCCCTTTCAGTGTCCTGTCAGAACCCTTTCTGCGACTAATGTGTTTCCTTCCGTTACCCAGTGTCCATGCATAGCAAGGAGGCTGTAAGAACTAATGAATGAATGAATGAGTTTAAAATGTGAGAAGTCTGAAGTAAGCAAAGCTAAAACTCCTGCGGTCTGGGATTTGGACGTTCAAGTTCAGGTTAAGACTGTGGCTGTGCAGTGGCCTGAAAGCCTAGAAGAGACACATATAATGGAGGGCTCCCCTGAGCCCACGCAAGAGCTGTTGGACATCAGCAGAGTCTTTTGATTCTTTGGGGACTGAGGGGAGGGTGGAGCCTTGGGCCAAATGCTGGGTCATTTCAACTGGAACTGGGTGGCTGTGGAAGAGAGATATGGCTGCGGGAAGGAAGTCAGAGGGACAGGGCTGTGTCTCTGGTGAAGCCCGCGGCACGAGGGGAGGGAGGGGCTCTGAGGGCGAGGTAATTTGAGAGGAGGTGGGGGAGGGGGAGCTTTGTGTACTTCAAGGAGTGGAAGGCTAGAACAAGCGGCTGGGTGAGTTAGACAGCAGGAGGAGCCACAAACAGCGGTTGAGCTAGGGACAGGGAAAGGGAGCATGAGTGTATGAGTGTGTGTGTGTGTGTGTGTGTGTGTGTGTGTGTGTGTGTGTGTGTG